TGCCGCTGCCACTGGACACGCAGTCCGGACCCCCAGCTGCCCTCTCCTCCGCACACTGAACGCAGCTGGGGATGAGCGGGGTCTGAGAGCCGAGGGGAGCGGGGTGGAGGTGCCTGCATGTCTGTGAGGGGTGGGGACTGCCTGGACACAGCCCTTGGCTTTCCCCAGCGTGGTCCACCCAGACCTGCCCTCTGGTCCACACACCATCACTCTGCCTGGTCCCACACAGAGCGTGGGGTTGGAAGGGACCTCTGGGTCCCCCAGCCCAACCCCCTGCCCAAGCAGGGTCACCCAGAGCAGGCTGCACAGCACCGCGGCCAGGCGGGGCTGGAATATCTCCAGAGAAGGAGACTCCACAGCCTCCCTGGGCAGCCTGGGCCAGGGCTCCGGCACCCTCAGAGGGAAGAAGTTCTTCCTCGGGTTCAGCTGGAGCTTCCTCTGCTCCAGTTTGTGCCCGTTGCCCCTTGTCCTGTCGCTGGGCACCACTGGAAAGAGTCTGGCCCCGTCCTCCTGACCCCCACCCTGCAGATATTTATCAGCATAGGGCAGGGTGGTTCATGGGAGGTGTGAGATGGGGACAGCCCAGGTGGGAGCATCGGTCTGGGTGGGACAGCACCACGGCAGAGCTGGGGGGGGTCCAGGCCTTCACCCACCCTCAGCACCACCCTCTGGTTCCCACCAGAGCCAGGACCAGGGGCCACCAAGCAGTGTGGGTGCTGGGGGCCGGGAGGAGGGTTGTCCCGGCAGCAGGTCAATCTGTGCACGCTGGAGAGCTGCGAGCAGCGTGGGTCTATGGCCAGAGGGAGAAGTTCCTGCTGCTAGAAGCAGAAGTGAAAGGTAGGCAGAAGTGAAAGCAGAGCCCCGAGCTGCTTCCCACACAGTTCCTTGCCCCGGAGCACCCAGCAGCACGGCCATGGAGCCCCTCTCCTTCCAGGAATACATCCGCTCCCTGGACCCCGCCACCCTGCCCCGCATCCTCCGGATTTGCTCCGGTGTCTACTTCCAAGGCGTGCTCGGTCCCCGCTGCCTGCCCAGGGTGCCCCAAGGCTGTGCCACCTCCCCCCCTGTGCAGCCCTTCTCCCGCCCTGGTCCCCTGCCGCCGGGGTGGCCGTGCCCGGGGGGAGGCACAGGTCCTTGTGCCACCCCCAGACACCGGTGCCTAAGGCACAGCTGCTCGCCGAAACCCTTCCCTCCGAGCCCCGGTGCCCACCCAGCAGAGTGCCCCAGTGCCTTCGGTGGGACACGGAGAACCAGCCAAGGGGCTCCACTGCGTGCACAGTCCCGGGCAGGGAATCACGATGGGCGGTGGGTGCGGGCGGTGGGTCTGGAGGGGACGGAGCCGTACGCTCAGCAGCCAGGGGAAGGTGGGACGGCGTCGCTCCCGGCCCCGGCGCAAGGAGTCCAGCAAGGGCGCGGAGAGCAGCCTGGTCTGAGCTCTCCGCTTCGTCCTGGGCCATGTCCCTGGAGACATCTTAGGTCAAGGAGAAGCCTTGACCAGCCTGGCTTCCTCAGCTGGTGGCAGTGTTGGTGGTGAAACGGAGCCAGGAATTAGCAAATGCTTCTCCTGGATTGCTGGGGCTCCCAAACAAGCTGGGAATGCACAGCAGGACCCCGGCAACAGCGGTGTGGCCGTTACCGTCAGGGCTTGCAGGGTTTGTAGCACTTGTGCAGGCTGCACTGACTTTTGAAGAGTAGGAGAAGCGGGGGGAGGTTCTCAGTGCTTCTCTGTAGCTCAGCTGGGGTGGGTGTTTAGCTTCCCCAAAGACTTCTGGCAGCCTTGATAACATCTTAATATTTGCTAAACGAGTGAAAACGCCCCAGTTCCAACAGCAGCAGTCAATTTGTTTAGCAGTCGCTGGTCGTCGTGGCGAGGTAGCTGATGCTTTCTGCTTTGCATAGCAAGGGGCTTGTCATGAGTTCGTCTCAGGGAGGGGAGAAGCTTGGGGCTGCACAGGAGGTTTGGCAGCAGCTCGATGGATGCAGAGATTTAAGGGCAGAAGGGGCATTGCGCGTGCTGGAGGGCATCGTGACCTGGTAGCGCAGCCTGAGGAGCTCCTGCTCCAGGAAAGGCACAGCTTCCCCGTCCCTTTGCAGCATGGTCAGGCACTGAATCTTGAATCTTTCCTGCGACGTTCCTTGTCTGAGTTACTTCGGTTCAGCCTCCAGCCATTCCCGTTGTGCTCTTCTGCACTGCTTTTCTCTTCTGTTACGACTCCCGCACAGTTCCCCGCACTGGAAGCTTTCCAGGCCGTGGGCTGTACAAGCTTCCAGGTACTCCTGATTCCTTAGGAAGAAGCATCAGTCCAGCAAAGACCCCTCAGCCAGCCTCCTGGCTGGGAATTCCCTTGGCTGCTGGTGGACGGTGCTGGACCTCACAGAGGGATCAGAGTGCCCTGGGATCAGTCAGTGTTGCACCCTGCAGATCTGCCGTCCTGCACCCGTGATGTTTCTTGAACGCTTCTGGATTTCCTGCCATTACTGACGATCTCCTTACTTCTAGATTTTTGTTAGCAAAAATTCTGGTGGGTCCCCAAGATGCTGAACAAAACTGCTGCTGCTCTCAGCCCCTTCCGGGCGCCTGTCCCAGCCGCTCGCTCCTCGGCTCCTCTGCGCCCTTGGTCCTGTTCTGTGTCACAGAGCTGCTCTGGCGCGGTGCTGCGGCGGCGACGAGCAGAGCCTTGGGGTCCTGCGCAGGGCACCCACAGCCACGCGCGTCCG